TTCACTAAGCTAGTTATCGTTACCGTTTTGGCGATTACAGCCTTCCATAAAGTAGATTAATTATTAACACATTTCGTATGTTTCATTAAAAAAACAATCCATACTTGATTAACAACATATAGTTTAATACGTTGAACAATCCGGAAAATCTTGCTCTGACATTCCGTTTTTGATATTAGTGAGCAGGTACAGTCATGGATGTCCGGTACCAGCATTGCCGAGTACAGTTGCGGATGATAGCTGACAGCCACTGTTGTCCAGAATTTCACAAAGCTGGTAAAAATACCTTTGCTTATTACAACTCTGTACTCTGTTTGTTCCCTAGATGCCCAAGAGCAGAGAAGAACATGTCAAAGAAATAATACATTTTCACAATAGATTCAACACTGCCCCACCCTAAAACCAGCACCCCTGACCAAGGGGCCATAAAATTCCAAATTTTTGAAGAAGCAAACTTGCTCATCATATCTGTGTGCGTAGTTTATTTGCTTAATACCCAGGAGAAGAGAAAATAATTTCAAAGAAATAATGCATTCCATTATATTATCAACAGAGCCCCCTCCCCCTAAGAACCAGAAGCCCTGGCCCTGGGACCAAAATTTTCGTAGTTTTGGAAGAAGCACCCTTACTCATGACGCACTTTGTCTGCCAAATACCCACGTGCATAGAATACGTTTTCAAAGAAATAATGCATTTACACAATATAATCAATAGAGCCCCACCCTAACACCAGAACCCCTGACCCCAAGGCCATGGAATTCACAATTCTGGAAGAGGCACCCTTGTTCCACCTCAGATCATGCTTGGATCTTGTTTCATACGATTTCAATTAAATTCAGTTAGGTTTTTGTATTAAATTGCACACAAACAATGCAGACTTCTGACAATAAATTGAAACTTACCTGAAAGTGACCATGGAACCAAATATGATCGGTTTTAGTTTCAAGTCAAATAATAAGTTCCAAATTGAATTACATTTTTCGACATAACAACATTAATTAAAAATACTTGTCTCTCTTAAAAATTTAACTTCCGTAACGGTTATTTGGTTGTGTTTTTGAAGTTAAGGTATTAAACGTTTTTATAATACTTTATACTTTTGATTACCATCTTAAAACAATCGTTAATTATATATATTTCAGAGAATTTCAATTTTTATTGCTGAAACCTCCGTGACGATTAACTCCCTTATTTCCCCCAAAATTATTACCAGATTTGTGTCAGTCTTCAAAATCATGTTATACCGTTTTATACTCAACGTAAGAAAACGAAAAATAGCTCAAATTCAAGTTTATTTATAAATAGTGAGTCCTGTTTAAGCAATAACTTCCGTAACATTGCCTTATGACCGTGGGTTTATCGAAATTGTTGTAAAAAATTACCGAAACAAATTCTATGGTTAAGGCCAAAATAAAAATACCTTATTTTCCCCTAACGCGACCGACCCAATTAAATCGCACCGAATGAAAAGTTTTTTTTAAAAATAAGATTATTCAAATATTTTTTTTAATGTTTATCAACTTTTATAAAATACAATTTCATCAAAATCCGTTCTTATCAGAACGGCCGATTTTGTTCTACTGTGATTTTCAAGCGTTTGTTGGAAACAAAGTGGCACCCTCAACCAGGTTGGGACCAATCGCCCAAATGGGATATAATTGCCACTTTTCTCTTCAAGCAAATAAAATATGGGAGAAGTTTTGAAAAATCTGTGAGTCTTGCAATCCAGCATTTCATCCATCCTTATTATATTTCAGTTGTACCTCACTCCCATAACTCTATAAGTACCTCCATTTTTTTTGATACTCTAAGAAAAAAAAACTGGGATGAATTTATAACGTTAAAATTCTGTAATTATATTCCAATTAAAATATAGGAAGAAAATTGTCAACATGCAGCATATCAAACAGATGAACATTATTCATTTTTTAAAATTCATTTATGATTGATCTTTATAGAGAAAATATATTTTTATAATGTAAATAGTTTTTCTAAACATTTTTATTTTCCTAAATATACTTAAGTGAAGCGATAGAAAGTGATTCTGCACAATTAAGTCAAATGAATGAAAATGTGATCTTATTTTTAAAAGAAAATGAAAAAGATGGATGATAGGGAATTTAAGCGTTTTAGGGTATTAGTCCAACCCTGAACTATTTGTAAACAAGGTCATTACCAACTGTCATGAAAACTGTTATTGATTTTTTTTTATCAGTGCGCAGCATTTGACTAGTGTCTAAATTTGAATGAAAGTAAATTAATAACTCTTTAAAAAAAACATCGGTGGTTATTTCCCCCAGATGTATTGCATCACTTATCTTTAAAGCTCAAATATACGATTTCCCATATTGATTCCTGTCGAGAATTGCTGCTGTACAAACGGTTTTTCAAGGGAATATTTATTACAAATTCCTCTTTAAAAAAAATTTGGTGGGATCATTTGAAATTTAAAACATATTTTATATTTTGTTTTTAAATTTGCTTGTTGAATTAAGTCAGCAGAATAAAAAACAATCAGAATTTTCAATTTTTTTTTTCTATTTCTTCTAAAATTAGGTCGGCGGATCCGTTAACCAAGAAATAAAAAAAAAAGTGTGGCCTTAACGTCACATTTATTGTCATCTATCATAGTTACAAAGTTTGAATCATTAAACATTTCCTTGTAGGATTTTTGATTGGGGAAAAAAAAATCATCGAACAAACATGCTATACATTGTTGTTAAATTTCCGTCTCTGAACATTTAATGGACGTTTGTGGCCTAATCATCTTCATCTTCATTATCAGATAAGTATAAGTATCGTGAATATATCAGGATACTGACACCTGACATTGGGGTTTGCCAACTTCTTGAACTTCTTGCCCTTGTCTTTAATTTTGATTTTAACGAAAAGTATTAGACTATTAGAATCCGATTTATTGTAAAAGAATTGCGGATATATATTTACGTTTTTCATTCTTAGAATCAAAAGATTATTATGGAGAATCCAATCAATCTGAAAAATTGATAAATCATGATATACTGGAATATTTTCTGAACCACAGTGATATATCGTGATACTTTATTCCCCTCACGATACACAACCGTACTAAATGAAGAGCAACCAATTTTATTTGAAATAACACAGAAAATACTCAATGAATGGAAATATTTTTAATCACAAAGGCCAGCATTTCATCCATCCACATCATATTTCAGTTGTACCTCACACAGCTGATATTTCACTGTTTTCAAATCTTCCTTAAATAATTAATTTCTAGAATTTTAATTTCGACGGTGACATCTCTTAAACAATGATCACTTTAATTTTGAGTTTGCTAAAAGGATATATGATGCTTTTCAATTTGGTTAATTAAGAAATGTATTCAGTTTTGAAAGTTCATGAAGATATTGACTGGGCAAAAAGTATCAGGTAATATCCTCATTATATAAAACTGAAACCCATTATATTGTGCTCATATTTATATTACAGCTATCATTTTCATTCAAACACACAGAAATTGACAGATTTCTTCATTTTAGCTCCTTATGTTCACTGTAACTAGTGTTTTCTAAGTGCAATATTTCTCCTTATCTGTTACAGTTCATGAGGATATGAATTTATAATTTCTTTCAATAAAGAGAAATAACATCTTACGTTAATATTTTAATGTGTTACTTATCGTACAAACTACAAGAGAATTAGTGATTTATCACGTGAAATGAAGGAATCATCTACAACAAATTGTCGTAATTGTATCGCAGTTGCTGTTTCAACACCTACCAAGTGCTTTAGACGTTCATGATGTGATTTCTTTTAAGAATGCTTCGAAGCAAAGAAACTTGAGTGTATAATTTTTTTTTATAAACAAAAGTATGTGAGCTTCAGTTTGTATAATCATTATGGGATATCTGGTGCATTTTCTAAACATACATTTATGATTTCTTTAAATTGTATGTAATCTGCAATCAAAAATTAAATTTTATATGATCTCTCTGCGTATCATACATTGCCAAGCAATCCCCTTGGAAGTTCAATTTCTTCATTTATGGAGCAGGTTTTCTGTGTTATCGTTCCTTTACACAGAAGACGAACGATATACTTGACATTGTGTGAATAAGGCTACCCATTTATGATATAATTTTATCCAATATGCCTGTGAAAAGTAAGATATTAATCTAATGCTTTATTTCAAAGTGTCTAGTTTCTAACCGTCGGAACCCATGCAGTGGAGAGAAAACCCGTGGATTCCGACAGGTTTATGAGTTATTTTGAATTTGAATATGCCATGTAAAAAGCTTGAATTTTCATTCAGTTAAAGCAATGTGAGCCATAACTCTGATGTCAGAAATTTTTGTTCCAATATTGTAATTAACTATTTCAATGACAGAAATAAAGAATGTTTATAAACTTCTATTGTTTTTATTTCTGATGGAAAAACTAATTCTAAGCTTTGATTGAAGCAAAATTACATTATTGTCATCCTGTACAATATTGATATCTTATATAAATAAATAAATACTATACATTACATTGTACAGAAATCTTTCTTCTGATACAATTTGATACTTTAATTAGTCTAATTGATCATAAAGGTCTTCGTTACACACTCATTCATTCATTCATTTATTCTCTCAAAAACCATATGAATGGTACAAGTGGTACATAAAATAAATTTAAGTTTACTTAAATTTTTTTATTGTAATCAATAAGTGTCCTCCTTGAGTGTTCAAGTCTGAAATATTGTATAGTGATGTATTATAATGGTCATTTTGTTTCATGTCTTAGGAGAGGCAGAGATTGACCAATCAAAATCAAACAATTAAAATTCTGGCCACGCGGTGCGTCACTCTGCCTCTTCTCCCACCTACAGCCTTGGAGGACGGACGTTTTTTCAAGTTTGTTATTTATTTATCAAGTATTTGGTGAGTAAAATTATTTTATCATGTCTTCAATGGGCAAAACTTCGGTTGTCATTCTTGGTCATTCAATTGTGCGTCGTTTTCACGAATTCTTGAAACATGGTGATGACATTAGATATTCTGCAAATCTTGGTCTGGAAAAAAACGCATTCCGTTTTGTACAGGGGTGTGGGTGGAAGGAAGGTTCGTGATATAATATCTAAGGATATGGAGAGTGTATTTGCTTTAGGTCCCGAGGTAGTTGTTCTAATGATCGGGGAGAACGACATCATTCCCAGTACAGATCCTACATTGTTGGCCGCAGAAATTGAAACTATGGTATCGGTGAGGCATCGCCGCTATAATGTTGCGAAAATAACTGTTTGCAAATTATTGCCAAGATTTAAGGTTAATTTCGAGTACAATGATGTAGCAGACAAAGTGAATGAAATACTGAGGGATGCATTGCCATCACTAGATTATTGTGTACATAAATACATATTTACAATAATTATGGACGAGCAGAGATTACAGGAGGACAGACAGTGTCGAAAATTTTGGTGATAAACATATACCAGATTTATCAAAACAGCACATTTTAACAGCAGCGGTAGTATTTACTATATAAATGATTTGCAAAAACTTTGATATGTCGACCTCGGTAATGTCGACAACCCGGGTTATCTCGACGTATATTCACAGTCCCAAGAGCAAAATTTACCTGGCATATGTCGACATCGGCAATTTTCTGCTCTACTGAACCTAACTGTTTGTCAGATAGGGTCGCTCGTTACGCACGGACGACTCCGGGTATCTCGACGTCGTCAAAGTTTCACACCTTTCACACCCATGTTTTGACTGCACGCTGCTTAATCAATATTATAGACTGTGTTTGTAGGTGAATCCAAAGCCCCTTCGGCGTCTTTGAGAAATTAATTGAGCTTGGGTAGTATCATTGCTAAATCTACACGATTCTGCGTAAATGTACAGAATGTTATTTATACGTAACATAACTTTTAAATTTGAAAAAGATAACTAAATTACTATGAATAACAAACACACGTTACATATATAAGATATTTCTAAGACACTTACTATAAGTTCAGAATCTACCAGAAACTAATGACATATGTTCCTCCAATATAAATAAATAATAATGAAGTGTATTATATGCCAATAATGAAGACGGTTTAGAGGGAGGTGAACATATTCTTTTTTAAATTGATTAATGAAAGTTACTTCTCTGCCAGATTAAGAATTAACATACCATGGGATGCTTCAATATTAAAATGAATAGCATGGCCTTGCAATTTATGAAGAAGAAAATTCTTTTCCTGTGTACATGCACATTATGTATTTAATCCTGATTTTTAGTTAACTCTCTACAGGGGCCCATAACTTAAAAAAAAATATTAGATTCATACAACATGTTTAAAAATTACTGGTTCTTTTGTTTCTTTAAAAGATATATAAACAATTCTTAAATAGTTCCATGCGAAACTTTGATCCCTTATTGTGGTCCCATGCTACTTCCGGGGGCATGAGTTTAAAATCTTCACCTCTGGAAGCCTTCACATAAGTTTCATTTTTTCTGGTCCAGTGCTTCTAGAGAAAGGATTTTTAAATAGATTTTTCTTAAATATTTCCACGTAAAACTTGATCCCTTATTGTGGCTCCACCTTAACTCTGGCGTCCATGATTTGAACAGTTTAGAATAGACATTATGTCTAGAAGCTTCAATATAATTTTCATCTTTTCTAGTCCAGTGGTTCTTGAGAAGAAGATTAAAAAAATTCCTAAAAAAATGCTAAACTTTGATCTTTTATTGTGCCCCCACCCTAACCCCATCCTCGCAAGCCAGGGGTCCTGAGTCAACACGTTGCCGTTGGACCCCTGGTATATTTCGTTCAATATTCCTGGGCTTGCTTCCCTCATTGAGAAGCACCAATCAAATTAAAGCTTTCATAAATAGTTAGATAAGGATTCAGTTGACACCTCAAATGCACGTGTTACAAGTTGTTAATCATAGAATGGCTTAATGTGATTGGTTGAGAGATAAGAAAAACAATCAAGATTTGTAATTTGTAAAGTAAAACTTTTATCCCCTAATGTGGCCCAACCTTAACCCCAGGGGTCATGATTTGAAAAAAAATGAGAATCTACTTTTCCTCGGGAAGCTTCCACACAAGTTTCACTTCTTCTGGCCCAATGGTTCTTGAGAAGATTTTTAATTGACCCCACCCTATTTTTTGCCTTTTCTCGATTTTCTGCCCTTGGAAGGGGACTTGATACTTCATTTGAACAATTCATACCCCCCCCCCCCTTTACCAAAGGTTGCTTTGTGCCAATTTTGGTTACAGTTAGCCCATTTGATCTTGAGAAGAAGTCAAAAATGTGATAAGTTTATAGACGGACGCACAGACAGACGGACAGAAAAGCTCACTTGAGCTCTCAGCTCAGACGAGTTAAAAAGCAGGAGACCAAGGACTAAACCCTGTAATATCCCGGCATTAATAGTTTTTCTAGAGGATAAAATATCTTTATACATAACTTTCTGATTATTCAGATTACTATAAAAAATTAAATACATGAACATGTATATTATATTTAATCGCGCCCCACATCCGAAAAATATAGGTCAAATACAGCATATAGAGCATGAATGGTTATATGCTTCCTTGATACATTATCGAAGCAAGATTTATCCAGACATGGCTTTTATTTACCTAAGAGACGGACCTGCTCCAAAAACATCAGACCGAGACGCAGATGTCAAGGTCGGAGTTATAGAATAAATAATCATTGCAATTTCATTCAGACGAGCTATGCACGTGCTTTAAATTTTTACTTTCCGAGTATCAAAAGTGAACATGCTCTGTTCTCAGTGCATCAAATATGAGAAACTATTAATAAAACAAATTAGGATAATTGAAATTAGCTCTTGTTTCTAGCTAATTTTAGTTCTTTTTAAAATGGTCTAAAATACAAGAACAGGTTTAAAAGGGTTACATATGTCATATAAATATTGCATGTAGTTGAGTGTAACATTGAAAATTTTTACCCCAAGAAAACCATTGTCAACCTCGGCTGCGCCTCGGTTGACAATGGTTTTCTTGGGGTAAAAATTTTCAATGTTACACTCAACTACATGCAATATTTATTAATTATACTGAATGTTTTATACGAATATACACATAACAGTGAAACTTGCGCGCAAAAATACTGCGCAGTCACTATTTTTTGGAATATCACCCGTCGTCAAGCAATGTTGACTGTTGCTGCGCTGGAGGGCGTGGCTTCATCATTCAGCGGATAATAGTATTTTTTAACAAATGTTTCTCGACGAATCAGATTCAACTAATTTACATGAAAGTATAATATTATAATATTAAATTGGAAAAAAAAGCTATAGTCCTGAATAAGTCACCTGAGGAGTGTCCTTATCTACATGAATGCAGTGTTTCCGTTTTGATTATTTCTTTGAAATGAAAGGATCAAAAGTAGTTTTGCTAATTAGTTTCTGCATCTACACCACTTCGTTGGTGCAGGGAGCCTTTATAACTCATCGTGGTAAGACCTTTTGTTTGTAGTTCTGTCATATATGTTTTATTATATCTACCCTTAATAAAAAAGGGGATGTGTTTTAGTGTAGCCGAAAATACAGAAAAGAAATCTTTTCTCAATTACAAGAAATAAGTAAGATAGGAAATAACATGATAAGGTATGAACGTGATATTTTTTGTTTCCAAAAACGCGGATTCTAATGAGACAGAGGCTTATAGGGACTGTGATTTTGTCTTATTGAAATCATACTGGAAGCCATTAAGGACCATATATACATGTATTTAATTGATCGAGTATCTGGAAAATATTTTTAAAAAATCTTTCATGGTAAAACATTTTTATGTCGTAAGCCTTTAGGCTCCCCCGATACATTCCATTTGTATAATAGCAGTGCAGAGAAGAATGTAATTGTATAATCCAATATCTATATAGTCTCAAAGTGCACATCTCTTTGATTCGAAATTATTTTCCTATGAATAACTTGAGATTGTGTATTCTTAGTTTTCTCAAGTTAAATTTAGTCTTATATGTGTTGAATAATCTTGCAAGGGACGTAAAACTACAATCAATCAATCAATCAATCAAATTTAGTCATCTGCCTTGCAGTATTCACTATTTGTCCAAAAATTACATTAATTGATAAAAAAATGGTGTTGAAAGATACTACGAATATGCACCATATTGTATATATGTACGTGGCACCTCCATCAATTCACAAAGTATTCATATATTGTATGGATGTGATTTAGGAAAGAATTGTTTTCTCAGGTGTTCATATCATTTAAAAAAAAATCAAACATTTGTTTGGAAATTATTTTAATAATGTATGTGCGTTTTGTCCTTTTCCTGTTGATAGAATTTTACTTTCGCTTCACTTTTTAATGTTGTATTTTACTTTCGTTTTCTCAGGTAGGTGCCCGGATGGTTTTCAGGAAGGAGACAAATGGCCATGGGGTGACGCATGTGGAGTGTGTACCTGTCATAACGATTACTGGACATGTGAATCGTAAGCAAAAGTTTTCATAGGCAAAATTAAGTGCCCTAAAATTAAGACTTTGTGGAGCATTGGAAGAACCGACTCAAATTTTCGAGTGTAGAAGCTACTGGACATGTGAATCGTAAGCAAAAGAATCAGATAGTGATAGAGACAGTGTTTTTAAAATTTAAACAAGAATGTCTGTAGCAATGTAAATGAAAAATCAGACAATGATACAGATTCAATATCATAAGTAAGATATATATACAAAGTAAGATATTTTGGATTTTGTTGGTGACTGTTGATTGAAACATTCTTGAATGTGACGTAAAACAACAATCAATCTATCAATCAAAACAATTTTAATTTTCTAAACCTCTCACAGATTTTGCGTGGCGCACTGGTCAGAGCATCTGCTCTAGAGTCGCCGAGTAAGGAGCTGATTCTTATGTCGCGGGTTCGAATCCACTGCGAGACGTGGAGACCGGTCCTTCGGATGAGACCGTATAAACCAAGGTTCCTTGTCACAGTAGGTGTTGGCACGAAAAAGATCCCTCACCTGAGTGTCTAGTATAGGTAAAAATTTGCAGCCCTCCACCGGCAAGTGGTGGCGTCTCCATATGAGTGAAAAATTCCCGAGAGGGACATAAAACAACAAACAAACAAACAAACGCAGATTTGGATCTTGATAACGTTGTTCTAAGTATCAAGTCATAAAATATGAGAAATATTTTTTAAGCTTTGTACTTTGTGTTTTTTTTTTCAGATTGATTTGTCTTCTGATAATCATCTCAGGTTACTGTCCAATATTTTGTTTAATAACATTCGACTGTTCGAGTCAAAATATTGGATTGATATGGTTTTACATTGGATTCTCTTAGCATTCAAGAAGAGAATTTTTACAAATATTGGACTATAAAAAACAAAAGAGGGCGTCATAAAAATGATTTTAATTAAACTTCTAAAAAATAAAAGAAAGAAGAATTGCCTTTTTGTTTGTTTGCTTAACGTCCTTTCGAGAATTTTTTACTCATTGAGATGCCACCGGGAGAGCTGCAAATTTATACCTGTACTCGGCACTTACGGCTTTTGAGCAGTGAGGGATATTTTTCGTGTCAGCAGTTATAGCGACACGGGACATCGGAATATACGGTCTCATCCGCGTCATACAATGGATTCGAAACCGCGACGAAAGGATCAGCTTCTTACCCGCGACTCTATAGCAAACACTGTAACCACTGCACCACACAGACTCAGAATTGCCTTTTAAAAAGAAATCTTTAGAAACCAGTAGAAGAAGACGGTGAAATTTAGTGTCTTGCCAATACAGAGAATGCTAATCAAGATTAAGTATTTTTTTCTCAATATTCAGACACTTAAGACACTTCGCGAGAACATATTTAATTGCTTTTACTCTTTCGATCAAGTGATTTAATTCAAAGCAGCATACTAGTAATTGTTTTTTTTATCCGTAACAATTTCCAGGCTGGTTTTTTTTTTAATTGTTATTTAGTTCCCGTTTGTTAAATGTGAGTATATATTTCTTTGGTAGATGTGGGGTTCCACCTCGTGCTTACAATAGCTATCTTGAATCAAATACACACGCCCTGTATCCGGAATGCTGTCCTCAACTAGTTTGCAAAGGAGAAGACAACTTTAACCAAACTAAAATTTACTATCCTTGGCTAATAAACTATTTTTGAATGTTTATTGAGATTTATCTTTTTTGAGTTCAGTGTAAATTTGATTGAAAAGCGGATTTACTGATGAATATTATTTGCTGTTATCTAAAACGTATCCTATACATCTGGTGTTCCGGGAGGGGGGGGGTTTCCGTGTTTTTGCCCTTTGTTTTGTTTATTAAATTGAGAGATTGATCATTGTTCGTAGTCTTCACATTTTGCATTTCTTGACTACCGTTGTTGTAGAATAGGATTTCCCCCATAGCCAGTTTTCCCCCCGGAATCTGTACTCTAGTGTAGGATCCCCCCCCCCCCGGGGAAATCCAAAACTAGAGCCAAATTTACCCTCTTTCTTTCCCAGAGTAGGATTTCCCCTCTTTTTTCAATGCTTGAATCATTTCGACAATTTTGTGGCAAAAAAATTATATTTAATATGGAAATATGAGTGTTTTCGACTCAATAACTGTCGAAATTGTTAAAAAAAATGAAAAAAAAATTGGAAAATTGGAAATTGAAAAATGAATTTAAGTCACTTAAAAAATTGTATCTTACCACGCTCTCTCGGTGCAGCGCTACGTGTTTGCTCACAAATTTTAAAATTATATCAGGCCACTTTAAGTGATCTGCCCTCAAAGGGCCCCGTTTTCATCTATGGATCGATCCTTTTTACAAATAAGGTATGAGAAAATTGTAAAATTTATGTTATTGATGGGTTCCACATTCCATCTTGTGAGTATTTGAATCAATTCTTCAACGGGGAAAATGCCAAAACATAAATACAACAATAAAGAAATATTGCTTTTGCAAGCCAAAGCATATGTATGTCCCCTCGACCCCAGCGATGTTATTTGAAAGTAATGAGCAAATACTCTCTAAATCAATTTTTTTTTATTATAAATAAATTACCCATTTTTAGATTCAAGCAATATTTAAGTACCAGAAGTTTGGAGAGACACTTATGTAAACGTACTTGTAGTTTGAAATAAAATTGAGAAGGAAATCCATTTAAAATAGAATTCCTTTTTGTTTCTACGGATAGAGTTAAAAGGAGTATTCTACTTAAGTATAGTAGTGTGGTCCCTTTTTACACCCTTGGTTTACCGGTTAAATATTAGCATACGGTATTTTGATTGTTTTCATTGTGTAAAACGAAGTATTTCTAATTAAAACATTGTGTATTTATAATGAATAATTAAACATATCAAAAAGTACAAGCCTATTTTTAACACCTATCGCACTAAAAAATGCCGGAACATTTTCCCCCGATCAGACTACGGTTTCTCTATTACATGGAAATGGGCGGAGACATTTAGATTAGATACTATAAAAAGAAGATCTTGGTATGATGTTTTTCTTTCAAAGACGAATTATATGTTCAAGATTCACAATGAACTACAAATACAATTTTCTATATTTACAAAACTTTGGCAATAAAAGCTATATATCAAGATGAACCAAGCAAGTCCTTGCTAATCGATATAAAACTGAGTACGTTTCAACTGAGAACTAGCACGTTTACTGTGGGCATTTACCCGTAACGATACAAATCCACGTGGCTTGCTATGATTCTAAACAGGTCATAAAGAGGTTAATCGCATGTAAATGAAGTCAGCCAAGAGATTCAAAATCTTAATACTTTTAATTAAAAAACACAGAGCACAGGGTTGTTCAACAAAGATATTTTCACTAAACATCTACACATATGATATACACATTATATTTCAAACTCGACTCTGAACAAACCTGTGCTCGGTGTTTACGAAAGCTTTGAAGTGTGTACCTGTCGCTGATTTCTTTTGATATTCATGAAAATCAAAGGACCCTACCATCAACGCGCAGCTTCGTATGCTGCCTATATCTATTGTTTGACATTTTTAGATGATGATTCAAATAATAAAGACATTAGTTAATAATAAAATTTAATTTTTAAAAATTTTAATAAATGTTCGAAATTTGACGAGTAACGGGGGACCACAGATAAGCTTTATTGAGACTTGTTCTTTGTCAACCGCTTACATTGTACAGGGTCCATTTTTTTCAGAAACCAGATTGAACAGATGAAAAGAATAAGATTTTAATACTTCAAAAACATTGATTGGACGGTTACTGAGAAAGAAGGAGATTTAAAATGTTCATTTTTCATTCTTGGTATGTTTCAGTGGAACTAGTTGCTATTTTAAAGAAGGGAAACTTAGCACAATATGCTTTCCCCTTCCCCCTCATACATAAGTACAACCATGATATGTTATGGCTCTGAGGGAAATCGCACTCTATAACCATTACACAGAGTAGGATTTCCCCCCGTAAAATTGAATCTGGTGTTGGATTTCCGTAGGGGAAATCCTACTTTAGAGTCATTTTTTGTGGGGGAAATCCTACTCTAGAGCATATTTTCCGGGGGGAAATCCTTATCTAGTGACAGTTTTCCGGGGATAAAGATTTTAGAGGGGAAAACCTACTATACGAGTACAAGACCGTTATAGTCGAAATTTTTCACGTCCAAGTCCTGAATGTACCTGTATATGTTGGTATTTCACACAATTTTCAGGATAAAGCTGAAAAAAATTGGGAAAGTGAAATTAAATGTTGGCAAAACCTAATCTCGGTGGAGATTCGGCTCTTTTAGATATTTGGTCTGACGACCGGCGTCAGACCAAATATCTGAAAGAGCTGAATCTCCACCGAGATTAGCAAAAACCCTGCTTATTTGTTTTGTGTGTGTTTATCTAAACGGTCAGCAGTTACAGAAATTTAAGAAAGGACTTTGTAATCCCAATGTATGCATAAATAAAATGATGATTCAAAATAACCAGGATGAATATACTCAAAGGTTTACATAATGAACAAATGATCATACCGAAACGTATCAACATAAAAAGCTATAAATAAATATACAGCATGCATGAAAATAATGTTCAACTTTGAATTTAGAGCTTTCAGAGGTCGCTGAAAGAAATTCTTTTACCAGCCTTATAAGTTATAACATTCTTAAAGTCTACAATTTTTGTAATGGGCGTTATAACTGTTATGTCGCTCCACACCAACTGTCTAAAAAAGTAATTATATTATATCATTCATTAATTACTAAATAAAAACAAAACAAAAACAAACAACCCCCCCCCCCATACACAAAGAGATCGCTAGTTTAAGACACGTATTCGATGTCAATTTGAGAAATACTTATTTGAAGGGTCCTATGATACACTGTGTACCGAGCGAAGCTGGTTGTTACGATAACTGCGTGTGAAACAATTTATTTTGCATATAAACTTTTATTTACGATGGTAAGATTCTATCTTAGGTTCACATTTAAAAAAAATATATCATGTGATCTCCACTATATAAACTTCTCCAGGATGCCAAAAATAAGCGGACGTTAGTGACTTATCCACGTGGAAGGTAACTAAATGTAGTTATATTTTTATAGTTTGGAATTTTTCTTATAAGAATTTTTTCTCTCGGCTAGATACAGATGAAAAAAAATCCTACTCATAATGAAGGATTCATAGGAATAAAAGTCAAACTTAGCTACTCTAAACTACCTATAAACGGAATTTTACTTTTCCAAAAGTTCATGTCTCTGTCAACAGCATGTTAAAAACTAATTCTGATATTAATAATTTTAAAAAAGATACAATATCTCTACATAAGAATCAGAATGTTATACTTCAGAAATACCCCGTAAGTTTCAACTCGTCTGACATAGCTCATTTTTATGACTGAAGTACTAGTAACAATGCAGTTAATGTTTAAATTGTGCTTCTAGCACATGCAAGTTATTTTAAAAGTAAATTCTGAATTTTAAGTAAGATCTTCATTTTTTATAGTCAACGATAGGAGTAAAGAAGCTAGTGTTGAAAAAAAATGAATATTGTTGAGGTGATTTTACAAGGGTAACCTTTCTTTGTTTACCTGAAAGAAATCAACACATCACTGCTTCAGTTTGTAGACAAGTTCAACAGGTAAAATACAAAAAAAAATGTATATCGTTAATAGAAACTGATGGAATAATCATCATTTACTTTTCCATATTTCTATACTTTCCTCAGTCTCCAGATAGAAACTGTAGTAATCGTTATGGAAAACATCTATTCCGATGCGCCTTCTTTCCGATTCCAGATATAAAGAACTGCGGACGTTAGTATATGTTATCCTCCAAGTCAATTTTCAGAAGTTAATATTTTTGAATGATTTTTTATATAGATATTTATGTGACTTTTCTTAAAACAGAACTTATTTGTTATGTAAATAACAATATGTTATTGATCGGTTCCACATTCCATTTTGTGAGTATTTGAATCGAGTAGTTCAAAATAACCATGATGAATATATTAACAAAAGAATACACTCAAAGTTTTACATAATGAACAACTGATCATACCAAAACGTATCAACATAAAAAGATATAAATAAATATACAGCATGTATGTTAATGTTGTTCAACTTTGAATTTAGAGCTTTCAGAGGTCACCGAAAGAAATTCTTTTACCAGCCCTAGAACATTCTTAAAGTCTACAATTTTTGTAAAGGGTGTATGTCGCTCTATTCTATTTTTTATTTCTCTCTAAACCAGATCACAGGTACAAGAGGTACATATATACAAACAAAAATTACAGTCAGGGGTCAAAAAATAGACAATTATACGAAGAAAAAGGAAAAAAAATGAAATAAACAATACTGTCATATAATCAGTTATAATGGAGGATTTAATAAGGTCAGACAGTTTTGAAAATTTTCTTGATAAATTTGGACAATGATTTTTGTACTTCTATATTTGTGTTCATAAGTTCATTAAATTTAAAAGTGTTAGGATTTTTACAATATCTATTTTGGAGAAATATTTTTTTATCATTCGAAAAGTACTTGTATTCCTAGAAACTGATGAAATCATCATCGATCATTTATTTTTCCGTATTTCTGTATTTTCCCTCAATCTCCAGATAGAAACTGTGAACTGTAGTACTCGTTAATGAAAACATCTATTCCGATGCGCCTTCTTTCCGATTGCAGATATAAAGAACTGCGA